CTCTTACCAGATGCCTGTAGAAGTAAACAAAAAGGCGGTCAGAGGAAGTGGACGTTTGAAACGTAGGATGGAATTGTTTCTGTGGAGCAAAACTTGCTTGAACTTCCGAAGTCTTAACATGTTGAAGAGATTTTGAGCATGTATGAGGTCGAACGAAAATAGTAACGGAACTAAAAGCAAAGATAATCAAAAGGTCAAGGATCAATATTAATGATAAGTAGAAATGGCTCTTATACGTGTTTGGTCTTAATAAATCCCATAGAGGTCTGCAATCTACTCGACTGCTTTCGACTGCTAAAGAATACATATGTGTATTTCATATACTTATGTATTAACTTGTGTGAACTCGAAAGATCTGTCATCCAAATTCGACCCCAAACGAATTAAACAAAACGTTAGGTGGATGGTGGAGATTTCACATATTTCTGGAACTGTTGAAAATTTAGCGCTTATTCGACGCATAGCCGATGAGGTGCATTCAGGTTTTTCTATTTTGATTTTGATTTTTGCTGCTTTACTGTCTACTCTGTCACTACAGTGCTACTCTAACATATTTACCATATTTTATGCTTTTGTTCTTTTTACGTTTTCCTGGTTTTTTTTTAAAATTATTCCCTATTCGACCTGCTCGTAACCTCTATTCATGTCTATCATGACGAGTAGTAAATTTCAAGCAAATCTAAGAGTTTGTCTTTGTCAATCATAAACAAAGAATATCACTGATAACAAATATTTGCTGCAAAGGATTGCCTAGGATAGAAAAAAAAATTTGCTTCAATAAAAAGCCTGTAAGCAAATTTTAATCTTTTAAGTAGCACTTACCGTCTTTTAATTTTGCTTGTATTTGTTGGAATTCAAGAGCATTCCTTATAAATAAAGCCCCTCCTTGGAAGGAAAAACTATCCTGTGTTAAGAGAAAAAGAGTGGGCGCTAAAGTAAACAGCAAACAATGAACATAAACAATAAAGGATAAAGCTCTCGGCTTTGATCAATCCTTGAGGAATGTGCCATGAATTCGACTTCATTAAACATCGTTAGAGGTGACTGAATCCAGTGCGCCCTATAAAATAAATCGCGATGGCCTGCCGATGTATCGAGTCTGTAGTGCTATCTTCTCAGACAAGTGGTAGTACCTTTGCCAAGCCCGGAAAGATGGATGGTCTGGTTAGCCTAGAGACGGGATCGAACCCAGATGTATTGTAGGGCACCTCTAACCACTGCGCTACATGCGCTGCAGTTCCAGAGAAGACTGGCGTTATTGGTATCGGTGGGGTGGCGGGCCTAGTTTGCACGATGGGCAAGATCAAAGCAAGAACCAAGTGTATTGCAGTTTACCTTAACCACTGCGCTACCCTGTATCAAACCATTGGTGCTAGCCTCGCAGATTGGTTTGGTATTAGTTTTCCAAGGACGGGGCATGGAAATCTTGGTGAGCCTAGGACGTGGCATTAAATCCAGATGTATTGCGTTGCACTTCAAACCAGTGCCGAACACGTGCCAACAGTAAACATCCCTTAAAACTATACGACAAAAAAGACAAATGTTTTTCAACAGGACACAGAGCAGGCTGCGAGTTCTAAAAAGCTTTGGGCTATTTCTAGAATGTGATTGCTGAGAAATCGGAAATGAACGAAAGATGTGATGATTTTGTTTAGTACACCTTTTAAAAAGGGCGCGTGTGGCCCAGTGGTCGGAGGAGCCTTGTAATAGATACACACATGGGATCGATTCCCGCGCCCGTGGCTTGCCAACCCTTCCATCTCTCCGTGTTCGGCAAATTGGTTCCAGATTTACTTGGAAGGATAGCAGCACTGGCTTGATACAATGGTAGGCTAATCTTTGTAAAGGCCAGATATCCACTGAATCATCTCCAACGATGCTTAATGAAGTCGAACACATGGAGCATTCCAGAGGAATTGATCAACACCGAAAGATTTTCATCCTTCATATCTTTTAGAAACGTATAAATGAAACAGCAAACTCTCTGAAAATCATGGAGCCAACAAAATAACCTGAAAATATATATTCCTCTCTTTCCCTGGTATTCTGTGATCTCATTGTTAATGTTCATTTCAATACGAAAATAATTCTGTCAACATTGCTTTCATCAATATCGTTCAACACGATCAGTCATCGCTCACAAAGCTGAGTGCATCAGAGCGTAGTTTGCAACAGAAAAGGTGTCTTGTGGAAAACTGAAGAGAAAAACTTTCGTGGTGAAATCCATGGATTCCTAGATAATTTTTGTTTACAGATTACTCCAGCCATAGCATAAAAAGAACTGGAATAAGGATATGATAGTATTTCAGCAAGTAGACGGCAGATCTGAGGTGTGGTGGAATGCATACTCAGCGGATGGTTCGGTTGAAGGACGCATTGTGTATTTCAATTTCGGGGCTCCAAAAGATCTCAAGACCCTAGAAGGGGTAATTTTCGAATTTTATTATAGTTCTCAGTTTCTTTTTTCCCTTATGCTCCTCACACAAATATTGCTTCGTCGGAATGAATACCGAAATTCTCCTCACTTGTTTCTAAACACAAAATTGCAGTCAAATCGATGATGCTTTAAAGTTCTCATATTACCGTAGCCAATAAATAAAATCGTCTGCATGAACGACTCAATGGATGTGCATTAGCCTTTACGAATGGTGAATTGGAAAACGAAAACATTTTGGTGACGCAGATCGAAATTCCAGTAAACACTTAATAGATCAACAACGAAACATTCCATTTGTACGAGATTCCGCAACATTCATCCGCTTACAGCTTTACTCCTCCCAAGGTAATCTCTGAACCTTCGTTAATTTCGGACACGTATCATCTTTCTGGCTCTCTAGAAATTTTTTGTGCATTTCGTAGCCACCCGAGTTAATTTGAAGCTTCTGTAGCACTTGCAACTCTGCTTTTCATTCTAGCTCCAGAGTTATTCTGAGAGCTTTGTCATTGGAATAACACAACGTGAATCACAACTCCAAGCCAAACCCTTTGTTTTTACTGGTCTTGGTGAAAAACTAACTGCGGGCATCCGGCCCAGCACTTCTTTGGTATAGCGGTTTTCCAGATGGAAATATCGAGTTTCCTATCTCAAGTGGTCCTGTATCAACTGCATCACATTTAGACTCCTTAATCGTCGAGTGACTCGAGCGGGCGCCAGTAAATTTTTTATTTGTCCCTGTCACTTGCAAGAGCAGCCCAGTGGGTTCTGTTCACTTTAGTGACCCATCGGGCATCATATTTTTCTTCTAGGCTCTTCGTGAAGAACTCTGTCCATCGAGCCGGCGGTCTTCATGCAGTAGGTTTGACATCCCGAGGAATTCAGTCACTAACTGCTCTTGTACATCGGTTGCCCTCATATGCATTACGTATCCGGCCCACCTTATTTTCGATGATGATCTCTCACTTGACACTTGACACTTGAACGTCTCGTTCATAATGGTTGTGCAGGTTCCAACATAATTACCATTTATCGGGAACTTGCTGGTTAAACCACTGTTGCTCCCTGGAACCCCGAGGTCAGGCTGGCCAAAGTCTGCCCCCGGATCTTCACCACCACGAGCAGTCGCAGCCCGTATGGATCAAAGGAAAATCTGCCAACATGCGACTTTGATACCAAGACGGTGACGGATTCTGGTATTGGTTTACTGTTAGCTAAGCTTTCTGATGAAAACGCCGGACACCTTCTCAGCTTGGGAAACCCTGCCGGAGAGACGAATTACCCCACTGTACATCGCAGTCCGATACCTAAGAACACCACCTCCCAGCGACGATGAGGCGGTAGGCCGTTAGGAGAACGATAATCTGTCCGCATAAACAAATGTTTCTCCATTATACAATAAAACAATTTATAACATATTATAAGATTATACAGGTTCTTATCACACCCCAGTGAAGAGATTCAGAGTCCGCAAAATTTTATGTTATCATTGGGTTTCAAACGAAACTTAAAGAGATCATATTCGGCAAGTTCCTTTGTAAATACTAATTGTTGATACTTTCTGTAGCACTCGAAATTCACCATTATCTAGCCAATAAAGATTTATAAGGCATCACACAAGCGATGAATAACTGTGCACATAGACGGGATAGGGGATTCATTCTCCCAGGCGGAATGCAAAAACACTTAAAAAGAGTAGCACTTCGTGTTTGCTCAGCAAGGATATCGAGGGTATGAAAGGTGGGCCAAAAGTCCACAAAGTTGAAGAAACTGGGTCAACTATTAAGCTAGGAAGTACTGTAGATATAAACACAATGATGACGAAGTAGGTTCTCTTCGTCGCTTAGAGAGCGAAAAAAGCGAAAGTGGACCAATAAAAGGGTAAACGTGACACTGTTTTGGGTGCCTCAGCACAGATAATAAAAAAAAGTAAAAACTGGCTAATTGAGGAATGCAACTGATAAGAAAACCTATCTTCTTGAAACCGATCAGGCTAAACTAATAAAATTGGACCTAGATTCTGTTTTCTTATACTAATTGATGAGCACTTCCTTCTAGCATGAAGAAACACCATAAATTGTTGATGAGAAAGTAATCTTCAAGACCCAATGATTCGACTTTCTCGCATTTTCTTATCGGATCAAAAGATAGCAATTGTCTTGCACTGGATATGACGACGATAGTTAAAACGTATCCATCTATGCATGTAAATAAGTTTTCCAGAAACTTCTGAACTCAGTTTGCTCGTTACTTAGCTTAAGCCCATTGTTCGCATGGTGTCACTTTTATACGAAGCAATATTTCGAGTACATATAACTATTTATGCAGGTGATTTTTTGATTCGAAGCACCAGCCTCTCAAGGGAATGCAGGCCTTAATATTCTATAGGAGTAGGGAGCTCGCGGAGAACATTAAGAGATACGATGAACACACTAAGTATTTTCTACATTAGTTAATGTACTATTTTAACACTCCGTCGCATTACCACAGCGGTTTAACTTCAGAGCGTGGGTGCAAGGTATTAATGAATGTCCAACCACTCCGGAATGTTCGTCTTCCAGGTATCTCAGAACTCTGACCATCGGGTCGGTGGTCTTCCCGAAGTACGTTTGAAATCGCAAGGAACCCATTCACTAACGGCTCCTATCCATCGGTTCTCATTCATCCGCATTACGTGGCTATCCCACCTTATCTTCGACTGTTTGGCGTACAGAACGGTATCTCTGTTTTTCGAACGCTGGCGTAGGTCGGAGCTTCGGATCCCATCCCTTACTTGTCTGAAACGGTTTACACCTAGCACCGTCCTTTCGACTGCGCGTTCGATAACGCTGAGTGGACCTTTCATCCCGCTTGCGCATCGACACCAGGTCTCTGACGCAAACGATAAAGCAGGAAGTACCGTTAAGTAGAAAAGGTGGGCGAGGAGCCGGGTGTTCTTTGTGCTCTTCACTGCATTCCCGATGCTCTTGAAAGGTACCCAGGCCGCTCGTTTTCTTCTGCACAGCTCTGCAGCTAAGCCGTTTATCATCTTGATTTCCTGGCCTAAATAGACATAGCTGGAGCATGAGAAGATACTCGTTCCGTTGAGCGTAAATGGATCGTACGAAACCAATCCGTTCTTCATGAACATCGTTTTTGTAAGGCTTAGTCGAAGACCAATCTTTCCACAGGCTTTATCAAAGTCGTCAAGCATACGTTCTCCTTGGCTAATGTTTAGTGTTATAAGTACGATGTCATCAGTAAAGCGAAGATGGTGTAACTGCCGATCGATTTTCACTCCCATATTATCCCACTCCAATGTTCGTATGACGTTCTGGAGGGTGGTGGCAAATAATTTTGCTAATATCGTTGTAAAATGGTGATATTTTGGTTGTGAAATTTTTGTACAGCTCACGAAGAATCTTTATGTACTGAGAAGGAACCCATTGAGTATCACGGGCTTCCCACACTGCTTCCATCTCAACTGAATCAAAGGTCTTCTGTAAATCCATAAAATTGAGACTGAGCGGTCTTTTGTACTCTCGTCTGCGATTCTACGCTGGCGTATCAGCTCGAGTGTTTCTGGAGACAGACGTCTCTTGGTGACTTTAGAACTCTGAGCTTTCATAGCGCAAGCGTGAAGATGTTGAATGAGCCCAACGCATTCTTCGTCGATGTTATCGACAACGGCATCTTCCCAACATCCGACAAGTGAATCGAATAAATCCCAGTTTACGGTGGTTCTGGGACTTCGGATTTTGAATTTAGCGGCTTTTTCTCCTTTTTTTCGCGAGAAATAGAATCTTGCACGAAGAAGACGGTGGTCTGATCCTGCGTAGAATTTTGGGACAACAGCGACATCGGTTAGGCAAAACCTTCTATTTACTATGATGTGGTCTATTTCGTTATGGAGCTCTCCATTGGGAGACTCTCACGTCCAGCGCAGAGGGTGGGGCTTCTGGAATTGCGAGTTACCATGGATTGTCTTGGTCGCCATAATAAACTCAGACAGCCGCTCACCCTGTTCGTTCCATTCTAATCCGCGGGTCTCAATGTGACGTTCTTCAGAAGTTCTTCTTGGTTCAGTCTTGGCGTTGAAATCTCCAGTGATGATCTTGAAGAATGTGTGGTCATCTCTGTAGAACCTCTCCAAGTCCATGTAGAACGCTTCGACTTCTTCTTCGTCATAATTTGATGTCGGCGCGTAAACGACGAAGGTTGTCAAAGCCGGAATTGATCTACATCTTTTTAATCTTAAACACCCGATTCGGATTGTAAGTTTTTCAAATGAATCGATTTTCATGGACAAACTCGTGTTGACGAGAACGCCGACACCGCCCACTCCTCTACTGTCGCCTGTTCCGAGGAACAGTTGTTTTCCGGTGTCATAGACGGCGTTGAATGGGTGGCGTCCTCTCTCCTCGGCCAGGCCGATGACATCGTATTTTACCCTTCTTGCCTCAATGAGCAACTCCTCCATCGAGGACTGGGATGCAAGTGTACGTGCATTCCAGGTACAGATCGTCACTATAGTTCTTTATAACCTGGGCAGCTTCCATTGACTGTGAGATTTTAGCAGTCTCGCCGTACTCGTCCTACCCAACGGTGCGAAATTGAGGGCTCTTTCGGGGTCAAAGGAATGAGGACTGTTCTTTTACTGTGTTTAGCATTTTTGATACCCACTTATAGCTTGCTGAGCTCTGAACGTGGGAGCTGGGTATACTCACGGGTAGTTTACCAGGCTCTCCCAGAGTGTACATGGAGTTCATCTGTTGGAGGCGACTCTTAGCCGCCCTTCATATACCTCCCAGTCACTTGATTGCAGGATTTTGACCGAATTGTCTCGTAGAAAACAATCCGCATAAGCAAGAACGCACCCAAACACGTATGAATGAATACGCCTAGCAAATACTGAAAGTATATGCCAAATTGGTGCAGCAGAAAGAGGATTCCATCTCTTGAATTCACCTGCTTCTCATTAAGGCAAAGGTCGCTTTTGATCCGCGATTAATCTTCTATCTACACCCTGGGGACGCGCAACGTAACCTCGCGACTAACTTGGCTCGAGACCCCTCTTAAGAGGGAGATCAGTGAAAGCGTTTTTGGAGGTGATTAAATTCATATCTTTGCAAGCGGCCTTTACAATGATTCACGGTGGCCTATCGATGTATCAAGCTACCGCCCCAGACAAGTCTGTACCAACTTGTGGACTCATGAGGAAAGGAAGGCTAGGTGGGCTGGCGGGGCAGGGATCGATTTCATGTGTATTGAGGAGTGCCTCTGAACCCCGCTCCAAAACAACCATTATCGTTAACCATTACAATGTAGAAAACCTCATAAATTCCAATGACGGGTCTGCCGCCTTAAAAAAAAAGTGTCAAAAACTCAGGAAAGTGCTGAAGGTGTCGTTTTCTTGTTCAGCAATCGCGAGGTTTTTAAACAGCATACATTTACTTCCATAAAAACACAATACAATACAACGCTAGCTGACGTTTCGGCAGTATCGCCTTCTTCAGAGCCTGGAAGGGTATGCCGATATACAATCTACTAGGCCAAACGCTTCAATAACACTTACAAAAAGACGAAAGACTCTTCGGTAATCCATGATCAACAACTTCTCGAAAAAACCCACCGCTTTTTCGTGACTTCCAATGAGGAAGTTTAGAACAGCTGATTATAGTCGCATGTGGTTGACGACTGCACCATCCCACATCAAAAATCGATGCGATTCCTACATCGTTATTTTCTCAGTTTTGAAGAATTTGACTATTCAAAAAAGGGAAGCGATGCAAAGAAATTGGCCCCAGAATCCCAGGAACTTGCAAGAAATGAGTCGTCATGTTGACTACTACTAAGTGTGAAGTATAAAATAAAGCATAAAGCTGCAGGCGTTGATCAACCTATGAGGTAGAACTATAAATAATTGTTCCATGTATTACCGTTATCATTATTGTTACTATTACTGTCATTACTGTGTTTTATCTGTTTCTCTACCACTACGGTGTAGGTACGGTTGTCAAGGCAAAGAAGAACAAGGAATCAAACGAAACATGCTTAGAATGAAGGGATTGCCGCGCTTTAAGCGTCGCCACGATCTTCGCGTCATTCGCCGAGTAGAAGAGCACGACAATGGGTCGAATTCAGAAACCTATATTTCACAAAACAAATCTTCAGACGATGATAAGCTATTGGAATGGTAAATGACAAAAGTCGAAAGAAAAGTCTCGTTTATAAAGTGTGAAATTTTCCAGTGAACCGATAAAACTTCGATAGGAAATAAAAGTAGAAAGAGAAAAACGGCAATCAAACACTTTCCAAAAAAACTTTTATATGAGGAGCTTCATATGTGCTTAGGTCCCATGTGATTATGATTAGATTTAAGAGGTTCTGATCTGCCAAGTGTTTTCAAGAACAAAGAGGATTGTATCCCTTTCATGATTCTGAGACATTCACTCTCAAGAGAATCACTATAGTAAGCATGCACAATACTTCACCTAAGACGAATTTTATGCTTTCCATTAAAAGTAGCTTTCAATTGAACAACTAATAGGAAGCAGAAACCCACCTCAGGTTGTTGACTGTGCTTGCGGAAAATGCAAGGATTTCTGAAGCTTCGCTCCTATCAACCATTGAATATTATTCGACACTAGGAATCGTGGGATTCTAGTTTCTCATAGAAAAAGTGTGCCAATATTTGCCTGTAATAAGCGGATTTTATAAAAGTTCCCCACTTGGATAGAAATTGCGGCCTGGAATACCACCAATTATTTGCAGCTTAAAGCTTATAACTAGACTTTCTTCTAACCTAAAGTCTGCTAAATTGTGGACTTAACCTACTAAGCGTAACACGTCTTACAGGGACACGCAATTTTGACTATAAATTGTCCGCAAAGGCGGAAATCCTCAAACTCCTACGGACTTCTTTTCCAAAGCTCTTCACCCAAAATTGGAGAATTGAAATTCTAGAAGTATAATGTCTTGATCAATGCCGAGGTTAATAGAAAGTTGCTCGTGGCAGTTACTGAAATTCTAGAGTTCTCTTTGCGGCTTTAACTCGTTGTTTCAGGCTATTATTGAAGTGGCCTAGATTTTATTTTATGCTATCGTAAGACTTTTCAGCTTATTCACTAAAAATGTCATTAATGTTTTTGAGTTTTCCAATTAATTGATAAGGCAGATTCAATCCTCACTTATTGCTGGACACCATGTGCTCAGAGTTGCTGTGGACTGACGCGATTTCTCTCATCGGGCGTACAAAAAGGCAGAATTTTGACGTTCCCACTGAAAAAAAATAAACGAAGGCAAGCAAATTGTCGCCAAGACCCCAAATTATCGGGTGTAGTCTAGACTTTCCCAAAGTGTTTACACATGCGAACAAGAATGATGCAAAATCTTCAGCACAATGAATAGCAGGGACGAATGCCCGGAGGTCATACGCGACCTGGTCCCGTACGTTCGCACCGATTTTTGATGTGGGATGGTGCAGTCGTCAACCACATGCGACTATAATCAGCTGTTCTAAACTTCCTCATTGGAAGTCACGAAAAAGCGGTGGGTTTTTTCGAGAAGTTGTTGATCATGGATTACCGAAGACATTAATGACATGTCAAAAACATTAATGACATTTTTAGTGAATAAGCTGAAAAGTCTTACGATAGCATAAAATAAAATCTAGGCCACTTCAATAATAGCCTGAAACAACGAGTTAAAGCCGCAAAGAGAACTCTAGAATTTCAGTAACTGCCACGAGCAACTTTCTATTAACCTCGGCATTGATCAAGACATTATACTTCTAGAATTTCAATTCTCCAATTTTGGGTGAAGAGCTTTGGAAAAGAAGTCCGTAGGAGTTTGAGGATTTCCGCCTTTGCGGACAATTTATAGTCAAAATTGCGTGTCCCTGTAAGACGTGTTACGCTTAGTAGGTTAAGTCCACAATTTAGCAGACTTTAGGTTAGAAGAAAGTCTAGTTATAAGCTTTAAGCTGCAAATAATTGGTGGTATTCCAGGCCGCAATTTCTATCCAAGTGGGGAACTTTTATAAAATCCGCTTATTACAGGCAAATATTGGCACACTTTTTCTATGAGAAACTAGAATCCCACGATTCCTAGTGTCGAATAATATTCAATGGTTGATAGGAGCGAAGCTTCAGAAATCCTTGCATTTTCCGCAAGCNCGACCTGGTCCCGTACGTTCGCACCGATTTTTGATGTGGGATGGTGCAGTCGTCAACCACATGCGACTATAATCAGCTGTTCTAAACTTCCTCATTGGAAGTCACGAAAAAGCGGTGGGTTTTTTCG